TGCTGCTGCCGGCGCTGGCCGCGATCCTGCCGCCGGGCGCCGCCGTGGAAGGTGAGTGGCCAGTCCCCGAGGGGGGGAGTTTCATCCGGCCGGGCTTGGGCGGAGGAAGGATGCTCAGCCGGGCAAGGGCGCCTGGACGCGCCGGGGCAGCGATCCGGGGGTGCTGGTTTGGCATAGAGAGCCGGCTGCCTGCTCTCGCCTGGAGGGGCAACCCTGGATCTCCCCATCCAGCGCCTCTTTTGCGCCCAGCCTTGGCGGAGCCCGGTAGCCCGAGGTCCCGTCCGGGCTGGGGAGGCCGTTTGGCCTGGCTGGTCGCTGCCCGAGACAGGGAAAGGAGGGGAAGGGAGGCCAGGCCACGCCGGTGAGGGTCTGGGGTCCAGGCGTCGGGAGCGCTGGGTCTCCAGAGAGGAGGAGGGTGGGAGGGAGACAAGGTTGGCTCGGCCGGATCTGGAACTGCCGGGATCCCAACTGGAGGCTGGCTGGCCGGGGTCTGCCTTGAAGCTTTGGGATTGCAGAGAGAAGAGGAAGGGGCACCACCCCGATGCTGTTGGGATGGGCTCTTCCCTCAACTGAGGATACAACTTGCTAGTTTGTGTGTGGTTTTCTGTGTGAAAGCGAGTGAAGATAAGCTGCCCTCGCTGGCCAGCCCCAGCGATGCCCGCAAGGTTGGTCTCCTAGCCCTTGACGTTTGGTCATCCCTTGGTCAGGGAGAGAGGGTAGAGGACCACACGCTCCCCTCACAGTCTGGCAGGAGCCAGGAGCAGATGGTCTTCTCCTGTTTCAGCAGCTGGGGGGGGTCCAATGGCCTCCTCTCCAGAGCGGTAGGGAATCGTTCTCCATTCACAGACCAGATCTGGTCCCTTACCAGTGGAAGGGAGGCAGGAGTGGCTTCAGAGCAGCAACCTGGCCATGATGGGTGGACCACCGTTGCCCTCACGGATCCGTGGCCCACGTGGAACGTTTGGCTGCCTGGACTGCCCGCCATTGTGATGTAGGACCAATGGAAGGGACGGCATTGGCGTGGACGTGTTCAAGACGGTGCCACGGAACTGACCCAAATCTAGGTTGGATCAACGGGAGCCGGCGTTGTGTTGTCTTGGTTCCCGGGCCTTCTCAGGAAGGATTTGCAGGAGCTTCGGTGCCTCATGGGGAGTGTGGTTCTGGCCATCGCCTGGGAATCACCGAACGCTGAGGTGGCCCCGGCGTTGCTTTGTGATTTGGGAGCGGGCCCATCTTCCGTTGGCCTTCGTCAACATGCGCTTGCCTCTTTTCTCTCCTCCCGGATGTCTTGTGGTGAACTGGCACCGAGAGCCACAAGCCGTCAAAAATCTTCCCTTCGCAAAACCTCCTTTCCCAGGGAGACTGGTTTTGTGACCAGAATTTTGTAATCGCTCGGGGTGCTGAAATATCAGGCAATTAAAATATTTGTATTCTATTTGCCCTATATTGCGCCACACTCCGTCGTCCCCATATAGATGACTTCCTTGACATTACGCCAAATGCTGGAAACACGCGATTGATTTTGTAAAATTTTGCTTAAGTTTAAATATATATTGGGGTGGGTGGGTCTCTGTCTTTAATGAGGGTGTTCGAGCTCTCCTCCTTACATGCTGTTTTCCCAATTTTAAAAAAACACCCTCCTCCTTTCTCCCCTCTCATAATTGTTGAAGGTGCATGTAGGAACGATATGTTTTCTTGGGTTATTTTCCATTTCTCGCTGCTAAGGCTCGGCGGCTGGATCTCCATACATCTCTGTGTGTCTGTGAAAGAGAGAGATTTAGATCTGGGGCATGGTGTGGGCAGAAGGGTCACTCCCTCTTCTCCTGACGTCCTCCGGCCAAAACCAGGGCCTCTGTGGCCAGTGTTGAAGTCTTAACCACGCAAAGCCACACAGCGGGGCTACCGATGTCATGTCTCTAAAATATGGGGAAGAAATCAAGGATTATTTTTCCCCTCCCCCAACACTGGGTGAACGTGGACACCCAGAGGAATGTTGGTGGAGGAAGTCGCCATGCGTGGTTCGTTGTGGTATCTGTGCAAATTGCGATACAACTCTTCTGGAACACGGCCTCCCTCGTGCTGATGGCAAAGCAAAAGCTGGCCAAGCGCATTAAGAGTTCTAGGGTGCATTCACCTCCTTTACAAACAACCCTGCGTTGGGTATTTGTCAAGGCCGGGCGTCCTCGTTTAAGGTTTGGAAGGACAGCGTCTGCATTCGGAGCGGAGAGAGGAGGTGTCGAGCAGCAAACAAGAAAGGAAAGAGAAGATTCACGTCAGTGGGAAGCTGTGAGAGTTGATGGATCCCCCCCCCCAGCCACGCTGCCCTCGTGCGCCCTAGACCTTTTCCAAAATGGCGGCAGAGTGCAAGACACGGGGAGTGTGTGGGCGCCATTTCCTCAGAGCGTGGTCACAAATCTGGTGTAGAAGGTTTCTGGGTCAGCTCTGTGTTCTTCCGCCTTGGCATGGTTTCAGGCTGATTACCCAATATCCCTGATTCTGAATTCTTTTTATTTTATTTTATTTTATTCGTTTTCAATGGCAATAGGATTGGGAGTTTGGGGGCTGGGGGAATAGATATGGGTGGGGGGAGAGGTAAAATTCCAGAGCGCGAGATAATATTTTTATATCCACTGATACAATGATGCTAAAAGAGGAAGATAACAAACACCCCAATTTAACATGTTTTACCAGAATTCCTATAGTTACTAGTGTCTCTCCATTCCCTAGTTCGATCATCGCATGCTTCTTTTCTCTATGCTTTCCAATCCGTAGTTCGAGTCCAGCTATAACATCGTTCCCAGTTTTTGAGTCCTTTTTGAGATGACTTTTCATTTAGTGTTTCTGCATCTTTTCAGTCAGCTCCGATTCTGAATTCGTAGTGCCAAGATGAATACGTTGGGAGAAATTCCCCGCCACCCATCTCATTGTTTCCATTTCTGAAATTTTTGAAATTTGACTGAAAAAGCTGTTGGTGGCCTCTCGATTCTTCCAGAGCAACAAGGCCGGCCCGGGCCAGAGTATAAAAAATTCCACCCAGTTATACTCTCCTGACTATTCTGTACCTCTTAGCCTGGCAGGGGAAGATACACAAATTCCAAAGGAAATTTTGCAATCTCTCTACCGCTTTGTGATTAAACTGAAATGCTTAGTTTTCTTTGAATCGGCTCCATCCCATTTTCTTTGGCCTTCAGAATGAACATTGTGTACCATTAATCAAAGATTAAGATTTTTTTTTAAAAAAAAATTATTACTTGTAGATCTTTGGTATTCAGTCATTTCTTTTTAAATCTATACTTTATTTGAGAGGCTTGGCGCAGTGAGGTTATAAGGATCGTCTGCTGTTGATTTGTTTTCAACATAAAGGACCTCTGAAACAATAAGAAACAATTAGATTTTGTGTGAATTCTGTTGGTTTCACGGCTTACAGAACTGGGTCAGTTTTATCTCAAAATCGGGTTTGCCAGAGCCCCTGTTGATTCCATGGGTATGCTAAATAAATTCGTGAAGCATCTCAGATAAACTTCAGCTATTCGATCCTTTCCCACTAGTAGCTACACGTGTTTGAGAAAGTTTGCTATGTTTGTCTTGAGAGATCTCCAGAAAATTAGCCTTTAGGACCACATATGTTTTCATGGCTTCTGCATCTTAACCTGTCTTGTTTGGCAATAGCTCAAAGTGATACCCCTACGGCCTCCCTTAGGCCCACTAATAATTAATTTTTAGTAGCTTTTTGTAGCTACCTCTGTTAAGCAGGTGGTGTTAACTGCAGTTATAAGATTCTGGCTGCTGTGATTTTTATCTGAAAGAACGGTGTGAATGCAATTGTGGAACCAATCTCCTTGAACTTCTAAACTGGGAGATCAACTTCTGTGTGGGCAGCCCATGGGGTGTAATGGATTGAGTGTCAGACTAGGACTCGGGAGACTTGAGTTCAAATCCTGATTCCACCAGTGAAACTCACTTGGGGATGGTCATCGTAAACCATCTGTTGAACATCTCACATACCTTGAAAACTCTTTAGAGTTGCTTTAAGTCAGAATCATAGAATGGAATACAGTGGTGCCTCGCTAGACAGTTACCCCACATGACAGTTTTTTCGCTAGACATTGACTTTTTGCGATCGCTATAGCGATTCGCAAAACTGTGATTCCTATGGGGGAATTTCGCTGGACAATGTTTGGTCCCTGCTTCGCAAACCAATTTTCACTAGACAATGATTTTGACAGCTCACTCCATGCTCGCAAAATGGGTGTTTTCGGGACCTAAGCTTTGCAAGACAGTGATTTAAATAGCTGATCGGCGGTTCGCAAAGTGGCTTTCCTATGGCCCATCTTCGCTAGACAACGACTATTCTTCCCCATTGGAATGCTTTAAACAGGTTTCAATGCATTCCAATGGGGAAATGCTTTTCGCTAGACAATGATTTCGCTAAACAGCTATTTCAGTGGAACGGATTATTATCGTCTAGCGAGGCACCACTGTAATTTAGTTCAAAGGGGCCTATAGGGCCATTGAGTCCAACCGCCTGCTCAATGCAGGCATTCAAATCAAAGCAGAGCTGAGAGATGCTGGTCCAATGTTCTCTCGAATGCCTCTAGCGTTGGAGTGCTCACCACCTCCCAAAGTCATTGGTTCCGTTGTCGTACTGCTCTAACAGTTAAGAAGTGTTTCCTGACATTTAGTCTAAAGCTGGCTCCCTTAACAGTTAAGAAGTGTTTCCTGACATTTAGCCTAAAGCTGGCTCCCTTGAACCTGAGCTCATTCTTACATGTCCTGCACACTCTGAGGTGATTGAGAATAGATCGTGCAAACAGATGGCACATAACTCATCACTCTGAGGTGATTGAGAACAGATCCTGCAAACAGATGGCACAGAACTCATATTTTTTTTCGTCAGTAGAAAAAAGCACTGAGATGAATATTGGACGGGAGTCTGGCATTGGGGCATAGGAAGAAAGGAGGTATAGCAGTAGAAAGGTGGATTTCCTACCTAAGCCAGCTGAATACCTTGTGTGCTACTTGACTGCTCTCCATATTTGGCATGCCACCAA